AGTTTTTTAGTATCACACTGCCACGATCGCGGGCGGCGGCGCGCCGCGCGCGCCTGCAACTTACTACTAAAGAAGTTCAACAAGCCCGCGGCCGCGGCTCCACTGAAGCACGCGTGCGCGAGCGCCCAGCTATTTATACCGGTAGGTCATGCTATAATTTTCTTCTCTTATTTAGTTCTTGTGTGCATTGTGCAATCAAATCATAGAAGGCAATGCAGGATGCAGCACCTTCTTGTTGGCGCATGCCAGCTTGCAACAAGGTTGGCGTCATTTGAAAGTTCTTCGCCTCTTCAAGTCTCTTTATATGGTTTGAAGAGGGGCAGTCGAGGCGACTCGGCGCGGACATGCCGCACCGAGGCCGCACCATGGCAATATGCGACTCCATGCTGATCAGGTGAGGGTGTCTTCGGATTACAGCCAGCCAGCTCTAGGGACGCATTACGCCCGGGCTCTGCACGAATTCTAGCCCCGTGCTGTTTGACTCCTCTTCATCTAGTTTCATACTCTTGCATTTCTTCCTCGTACAATTTTCACATTTTGACAATCTTTAGGCCCTGACCCAATGCAGCATCACTGCAAATTGTCTGCAGAGAAAGACTCCAGTCCATCTTACCAATTCTGAGTTGCAGCGCCCCATATGTTGCACACAGTCCAGGGGCTCCAATCAGGGGGGAAAGGGGCGGGGCGCACTCAGCAGCTCTTTTAATGAGCTTTCTGTTGCACGGCTCTGCTACCAGCAGCTTGAAAAGCTTTAAGGCTGAAGTGGGATTCAAGGAAACAAGGGCAAAACCAAAATCCAGCTAAAAAAGGGATGCTTATGTGAATTCAGAAGTCCCTGGATCCTTGTCAAAGCCTATCCTTGTCCTCAAGTGCACTGTCCGGCAGGTATCAAGTCCCTACATGAATCCTGTCGCAACCGCGCTGGCCCCCTTTGTACGCTTTTCCAAACATGCATTAGAGATCCCTCTTCTCTTGCTCGCTCTTATTTCCTTCCCTCTTACTGTCTTCTCCTTTCCGTAGTATCAACACCTGACCATCTGCAATACTACCACCCCTGAATGGAAGTGCCCTCACACTCTTTACTCCTCGCTTCTCACTCTCAGGTTTCTCCTAGTGGCGGCTTTGGCCGCTATGTACCAGTACATCAATCAACGGCCGCAGGCCGTGCTGCCAACGCGTATCATTGGACTGTTTCCGGAAGCCAAAAGTCTTGCCACGTGTCTGGGCGGCGTAGCGGGAATCCAGGCGGTTCTTTTGCCTGGAGACGAGGGTTTTGCCGCCGCAGCGCTGGGCGACAACAGGTGAAGTGGTTTGACAACATCAAAGGCGTACTTTCTATCCTTGCGCTGGCTCTTGAGCATTGTAATTCTGAAACCACGGCAGGCATTCAAAGGTTCTTGTTTCTCTCTTCTGTCAGCAGCGGGGCAAAAAAGGAGTGCTATAATCCTGTTCCAACTTGCTCTATCTCTCTTGGCCCCTTGTTGAGATTCGGCTTCTACTAAGCAGATGAAAGATGTAGCGACCGTGCCTTCTCAATCCTTCCTGCTGCAGTAAGCTGATCAAGGCACTGTTGCCACACCAAGCACACAAGTAAACTTTCTTGTTTGCTTTTCTCTTTCCCTCTGAACCAAGCCGTTCAGATTCCGACGTAAGACCGAGAAGCAGAACCAAATCTAGATTTCTCGAACCTGTTCGCACAGGGCCTTTGCATCTACCCCCGCCGCCATCGTCTACCCAAAAACGACTCAAGACGTTCAGGGCGTTGTGGCCTGTGCGCGAGCATCGGGAGTCCGGGCAGTGCCAAGATCGGGAGGACACAGTTACGAAGGTGATTCCCCCAGTACCTACTTACGAACGGACACGCTAAGGAGATATTTGCATAGGGTCGGCGCAGCGGGTCAGTCTGAATCTTATCGGTTGCTTGGAAAGCATCGGGATGTTGGTACCCTAATCTCGGATTTCGGGTGTCCATGTATCCCCTTTCAGATACATGAAAGTCATGAAGTTCCTGTTCAGAGTCGGGCTCCTGAAGATCAAACGAGGTCGTTCCGTCCTTCAGCTGAAGCAGGTTGGAAACCTGCATGTAAAGCACGACTACCGAACGCCGGACTGAACACGAATTGAAAAACCCATTCCAAGTTGGTGTGCATGCCCCAGGGGCAGGTGACGTCAGCCTCTGACATGCAGAATAAAGCATCCAGAAGGCTCTCCCCGTCGGTCGACTAGAGCGATCCGGGTCTCCACTCTGAACCCTCCGCTGACGTTATCGAGTGCTGACGCCATTTCCTGCTACGCAGGGTACAGCGTCCAAACGGGCACGGTCCTCGTCGACTTATCCGGCCTCGACTTTTTCACACCGGGCCCGGGTGACGCCTCCGCAAGAGTGGGACCCGGCAATCGGCTGGGGCCCTTACACTATAAGGCGTGGACGCAGATGGGGCGCGTGTTCCCGGGGGGGGTGTGCCCGCATGTGGGCGTTGGTGGATTGATCCTCGGTAAGCTTCTTTGCCTCTGAGCCCTTTATTTTTTCAGGCTGGATGATTATAAATACCCCCGCAAAAAGATTGGCGGACTTTGGACAATTAAAAGGTCGAAGCGACCAAAAGGGCAACAGAGAGTGTATTGCCGTTAGTCACAGCTTCATACGAAGGTCGAAGTTGAAGACAGCTGATTTCTACATCACGTGAACCCTTTCAAGCGTAGATAATAATCCTTACTATCCTGTTACATTCGAATGTTATGCTCATCGGAAACAGATTTCGATCACTCCACGTGTCAACAGTTCGAGAGGCAGCCCCGCATTTCATGCTGAACTGCGGGGCTCTTCTGCAAAGTCTCTCAGATGCTGGCAGAATCATTTCCGCTTTTTCCTGCTCTGCTTCATTCTCCGCTCACGTTCTCACCCCTTCTTCAAAGACCGTTCGCTGCGTTCTGCTGGGCTCATCCGTTCTCTGTTCCTTTGTGGTCTGTTTGGTCTGTTAGACAAGGACCGTTCTCTGCTCTGTTTTAACATCGTGACGAGCGTTCCTGCAGACCTTTCGCTCTCCAGCTGTTCGCTTCGCTTTCAAGAACCGAAAATACCTTTTCAGCTTTTTCAGAAGACTTTACCAACTGAAGAGTCTGCCTTGCTGACGTCACTGTGCACTCTACTAACATCGCCCCGCCACGTGTCCTCCCCCTGCAGGCGGCGGCATCGGCCCCCTCTCCCGCACGTTCGGCCTCTTGAGCGACTCCCTAACGGAGGTCGAGGTCGTTCTCTACAACAGCACGGTGGTTACCGCTAACCAAACTCATAACCCGGACCTTTACTTCGCTTGCCGGGGGGGCGGGGGGGGGTTCCTTTGGCATCGTGACGTCACTCACGGTGAAGATGTTCGACCCGGGAGACAACGGGAAGGTGGTTGCTTTCCAGGTGAGGCGGTGTAGCGAGTTTCATGTCAAAGTCAGGATGGCGTGTCTCCACTCCTCCTAATCTCTCAGCACTGGGGTTGCGTCTTTTCATTTTTGCCCTGTTTGTAATCTTCCTTGGTTGTTTAGAGCACTAAGGTTGTGTCTTCATACCCGTCCTGCTTTACTTCTTGCTAAGGTGTCGAAAGAAAACCATGCGTTCTATATTCATCGCTTGATAAAAGAAGCAGCGGACTGATGACAAAGTTTGCTTTTCAGACAATTTGTCAAGATCGAGTCAAACGGGATTGTGCTTCCTTGCCTTCTTTGCTTCAAATAAGGCATGTGATTCGGTCGAATCAATTGGACGGTGAAGGCCGAGTGACGAACCAAATGACACGTGAGCAACAATTCTGGCAGTAACTGGCAATATTTTGTCACTGTTTTCAGGCTTCAATGGCAGAAACTGGAATCATGTTTGTTCTCGCAATATTCTCTTTCATCTCGTCTCAATTGTGCCCTTCTCTTTGGGGTCTATCAAAAGCCCAATACTGACGTTTAGCACGTCTTGACACTCAGTATTTGTATGTTGCAGATTGAGTGGCCCACGTATGACGTCATTCCGGACGTTCTGGAGGCCGTCCAAGCGTGGCTGCGGACCGCTCCGGACGAGCTCAACGCGGACGCTATTTTGGGCTTTGGCAACGTTCAAGTGTCCGGTGGGTTTGCAGATCGCATTCGTTTCGCTTGTGCTTTTGCATGTTGCTAAGTTCTTTCTGCGTAAGGTCAGTCTTCCCTCAGCATCGTAACGATATTTTTGAACTGTGATCGAAACGGGTGGGTGCAGTTGAGAGGTCATGATGGGTACGGGTGCAGAGCGTTAGATTTTTGGCTTCGGGTCTTAGGCAAACCGAGAAAGAGCATCGCTCTCCGCTTTGACTGTCCAATAGATCGGCAAAAGGACGACGCTGAATCAACCGGCACTGCTGAACAATGTTCGGCGCATCTGCAGGGGTATACGTGGGTACACTGGAGAGCTTCGAGCCGCTGTTCGCACAGAGCGGCCTCACAGACATTCCCGGGTACCAAGTAAGTAGCTTGCATCATTGTCTCTGCTCTTCCACAGGACTCCGAACGGGAAGCGTGTTCTCGCATGGAATTAGCGGACAACTGGAAGCAGGGCTCCGGTTTGAGGCCAGTTTGCACAAATCCCGGCACGAGTTCGCCGATTCCGGACGCCGTATGCAGTTCTGCAATCCATTTTCCTTTTGGTTAAACGACTTTCAGAGCGCTTGCTGGGATTGGGAAAAAGAACCGCACATGTACAAGTGACTCGACGGGAATCTCAGAGACCTGACTACATTGCAGAACGTGCCTTTGCCACTTACATAGTGGATTCTTCTTTTTCCCGCACTTCCACAAATTCGGACGAATACCGTCCGATGGGCCACGAACTGGACCTCACAGGGCGTCAACGGATCCCTTGTCCGGCGGAAGCCCGAACAATTCGCTTTCGACGGACAACGGAACGGATCCTGCGTCTGGACGCCTGAAATAGATTCTGCGTCCGAACGCCCGAACGAATCATACGTCAGGACGCCCAAACGGATTCCGTGCCAGTCCGGCGGACGCCCACATAAATCCGCAGTGACGGACATCCAAACGCACTGGATGGTTGAATACAAGTGCCAAACGAATGCCGTCTTTGGCGGACGTTCGAAACGGGTGCTCCAGAGTCTTCCCAAAATCTGACGGACGTCCGGATTGTTGCTCGCAGGCGTCTTCTCGGGCCCCGTTCCGCAACTCGCTGGCCGTAAGCACCCGGTTCATCGACCTGGTGCTATTGTACGGTGAATACACAATGGGGCTCCAGGGCTCGGGGGAGATCACCGACCTCCTTTTGGGGCCCGAAACCAGCGCCACGTGAGTCTCGACATTACGTCAGCAGCTGTAAGAAAGAGATGGATTTCTTTGTGTCACTTTGCACCCGCCGCGTCCTTCCCACCACGCCGGACAATCTGCGGGAGCGCCTTGCTCGGCCGACAATTGATGACTTCAGCTGACGTCAGGGAACTCCGGCGAGCCTTTCTGTTCGTTGGTTCGGGCACATGCGTAGTCCTTGGGTTGACAGACGAGAAATTGCCTTGGAAAAAGTTCTGCTTGACGTCTTATTCAAGTTTGCAGATAATTCTGAACAGTCGCCTGTAGGAGAGGACTCTTCTCGTTCCTGTCAGATTTTGGCCACTTCTGCGCACCTCAAAACGTATCTTCAGTCCCTTCCACCACAAGCAACGTCAGAGGCACCTGAAATACGCTATTGGCATTTGATTCCGGCAATAAAATAGTATTGCTTGCTGGTCGAAAATATCAGGAATTATTGAGGAGCGAGAACGGTCTAGAATGCTTGATTAGGTCTGCCAGAAATATCTAACGATTTTCAGAAACTGTTGTGGCGTCGAAGGTGCCAAAATTGAATGCCGGTACATCTCTCTTCACGCAGGCGACATCCCGCTCCGTCCAAGTACAAGAGTGCGCTCATTTCGACCCTCCTTCCAAGGGCGGCACTGGCGGTCATTCGAGATCATATAGCCCGGAGTCGAGATTGCGCTTATTTGGAGATACGCGCGCTTGGGGTAGGTTCTCACGAACTTTCTGCTAAATTGCTGATTCGTTTTTTGTGGTTCCGACTATTCAGTGCGTCTTTGTCCCTCTTAGGTCGTCCCTTTTCTGACATCCTTACCATGTTGTTCGTCTTTCAGGTTCCTCATTCTCTCTTTCGCTTGGAACCATCCCCCGGTGTCCTCTTGCTTTTCACCCGTTTGCGCTTCATTCTTCTATATTGCCTCATTCGGTGTGGTCTCTTCCTCTGGCACGTGCCGCTCAGACCAGTTTGTCAACCTTTTTATGAATCTGTCAAATCCTGCTTTCAATGCTGGAAAAGCAACGCGTCCGGGGTCTGCCTTCATTCGTTTCTGCTCCGGCACCTTAATCAGGTTATCTCATGTTGTTGAGCCCGACTCTCGTAGCTCAGCCGGACTTCATGTCTGCACTTTTGTAGACCGGGTTCAGCCGCTGTGACCCGGGGGCCAGGTTCTGTATTCTCGGACTTCGCCCCGTTGACCCAGTTCGCTTCAGATCTAACCCGGTCGCTTAATTCAGCTCGACAACCTTAGAGCTCGCTCCTTCAACATGTTCTCTCAATGTGGAGTCCTGCATACAGCAGGTTCCGTACATTTGAACTTTGCCCCGTTGACCCAATCCACATCAGCTCCGAATCTAACCCATCTCGCAAAACTCAGAGCTCGTCCTTCAACATACTGCTAAATTTTGCTTTGGGGACTCAAGACTTTACCCTGTTGAGCCCGCTTCATATCTGATTATGTCCATGACCTAGCTCAGTCTAGAGCTCGCTTCTGCCACAAAGGATCTGTTCCGAATGCTGCGTTGGGGACTTGGACGTCGCCTCGTTAAGCCAGTAGGTTTCCTCTCTAACCCTGTTGCTTTAACCCAGTTCTACAATCGCAGAGCTCGCCTCTTTGACCCATTCCCTTAACCCAGATATTCCTTTGCCGCAGGGCGCGATCGCCAGGGTTAGTGCGGAAGCGACGGCTTTCCCTCACCGATCCGCGACTTTCAGTTTTCAGTGGCAAGTTAGCTGGGAACAAGAAAACGAGGAGCACAAAGGTTAGGCGCACACTTTACGCCAACTTTACGCCATCTTTCCATCCTTCAGTCAAACGGCGGCTTCGCAGATGTAGTTTGGTTTTACGCCTTCCTTTTTCCATTCTGATAGTTGGCAGACTTTGTTTGTTGAAGTCGACTGGAGTGCACAAAGGTCAGCCGCCCTTGTCACGCCATCATTCCTAACGTCCAATTCAGGTTGGCGGAGTCGTACATATTGCTGGAATGGAGCCTTTTTACAAGGCTGATAACCGGCGTACTTTGTTTCGGAGTCAATTGGGAAGCACGCAGGTTAGTCGTCCACTTCAGAAGGCGGACTCGTAAAAGCATGCTATCCGCGCTTCACATCGTTTTCTTCTTAGCGGTCTGATAGCCCGCCTTGTTTGATCCGACCACCACAAAGATCAGTTTCTCACTCTACGGCCTTGATGCCCTCCTTCTTTCGGAGGGCGGAGTCGCGAACTTATGTGACGTGGGGTTCATACCTTTGTCGTTTCACCAGTCTGATAGCCGGCAGACTTTCGTTCGGAATCCGTACAGAGCACACAGGTTTGTCGGCCTTTCTGCGGCCATCTTTCTTGACATCCGTTGAGAGGGCGGAGTCGCAACCGGGTGCCACGGGGAGTGCACATTTCTTCTTCTCGCCAGTGTGATATCCGATTCGGTGTCAATTGAAGAGTGCTAGTCTGATTCTCGCTCATGCATCTTTTGGATCCAGCGTGGGCAGGTACGATACCGTCCACGTTGTGCGCCTGGCAGGTACATACCGACTTTGATCAACTAGAAAAGAAGCGACCTTTTTAAATAAAGATTAAACTTTCAAGATTAAGTCTCGCCCTTCCTGGCGCGGAACTTTCGATGCACATGGTTTTTGGCGTTCTCTGGGAGCGGTTCAGTCGTCAACAGTGTGCGGGGCAGCGTCCGACGTAATCTGACCCGTTGAAGTGCAGCTGGGTCACTAAAATGGTAACCTCTATCGCCCTGTCTCTATGTCATCTCGAATGCTACACCCTTCTTCATCCCCTTCGCTGCACCTGCCCCCATTTCCAAGTCCTGTCTGACCTATTTCGTGTAATTTCCCTGGAACCTTGGCTCTAACCCTGTCGTTTCTACTTGATTTCCACTTACAGCGGCCCAAACCGGATGGCTGACCGACTTTTACTCGGCGCTCCAGCCCTATCTGGGCACTCCGCGCGCTTACGTCAACTACCTAGATCGAGATTTGGCGGAGTCCAGCGCTCAGTATTTCGGCTCCAATCTAGAGCGTTTGCAGAAGATCAAATTGGCTTACGATCCGCTTGACTACTTCCGGAACCCGCAATCGGTCCAATTGCCAGGTTGACACGTGTTTGAGTTATTTTCCTTGTCAGCGGGCGACTGCTTTTGCTGTAGTCGACTCGGGCGTCTGTTGGAAGATTTGACAAAGCTACATTGGGATCCGCTTTGCTAACCTCTACCATTGCAGCGGCAGATGAGGTTGATTGATGGTTAGCGAACCTTTTACATCTTGGAACCCCTCCAGTTGGACTACCAGACCATACTGCAAAGTATCAAAAGCCGACCCTACAAGACCCAGAAGAGTCATACTTCTCTAGAATACTTCTAGTAAGCTCAAGTGTTAGTAAGAACAAGCTAACACTAAAAACCCAAATCCAAATAAACACCCGCTCCGCACCCGTACCCACCCTAACTCCCATACTGACCCTACCCGGCTCAGTACTATCACTTGAGCTTACAAAACCTATTCTAGAGAAGAGTCGGTCTACCTACACAGACGGCAAGTGACCAAAACCAACGCACAACTGTCAGGCAGGCCTTGCAGGCAGAGGTAATTAGTTGTAGAATGAACAGCCGGAATATTGTTCTGAAAACGGCTAGCCTGGAGTCGTTTATCTCCACTGACATAGCTGGAGCCTAGGGACTGTAGCGCTTGGCATGCCAAACAGCTAGTAGTCACTAATGTTGTTTGTTTGCAATTTGACTAGCTTGCCCGTGCGCCAAGCCGGGGTACCGTGTGCCAACTTCGGCCGGGCAGCCACGTTTCACCGCCTTCGATCCACCCTGTGGATCGAAGGACCATTGATATGGGCACTGCGCGTATGTGTTATGTTCAAAATTGATCGGAGCGTGGCATACGGGCTGCTTACTTGCGCTTTGCTGAATGCCGCATGATGATTGAAGATCCACGAGTTTCGAATTCAATGCAGGGATCTTTAGGTTTGCATCAATACTAGGTAATCTATTCAATGAATTGGACATATGCCTGGGACCATGCACTGATGATCCGATCCTGGTCTGCATGGCTTGACCAGTAATCCTAAATTCCGGACTTGCGCGCGACGTATCCCGGTATGCAATTTCAAGGAACTTATGTTGAATTGCACTTGGCGGAGTCACTGACACAGCCATATGGCCGGTGGCAGTCCATTCAACCTGGACCATAGAGCTACCGTGACACACCCGTACTGGCTGCGCATGTGCATGGCAAGTAGCTTTATATCTTGCCAAGTTGTGCACAATACGTGTGCAGTGATTGGATAGCGTAAACAGCACTGGGAGACAATATAGCTGCCGGTGATTGTGAATAATCTGGTTATAATTGCCATGTGATCGAGGTGTGTGCCACAGGTAACGCAACCACGTCCGCGGGCCTCACTACCAGGGCCGCCAAGAAGAAGGCGTTCCCCAACGACCACATCCTGATTGTCAAGGGGAGCACCCCGGACAAGTTCCTCAATGACTTCATCCGGGATGTCCAGAAACCACTTCTGGCCGCGGGCTTCGAGCGCCGCACCATCAACGAACGGGTGCAGAACTGGCGCCCCTTCACCAAACGGGGCCAGCCGAAGCGCACCTGGGGCGCCTGCTTCGGCTCACGTGCGGACGCCGACGCAGCCTGGACCGAATACCTCCCCCTCAAGAAGCCCCTTCTTGGGATGGGCATCATCATCGAGCGCTGCAAGCCCGGCTCCAAGGCGGCACCCAATGGGCCGAGAGATTCGGCGGCGGAGCTAGTGGATATGCGCTAGAGCACACCCGGGCACTAGCGGAAGCCGCGGCGTAGGAGTTGGCGGCGGCCACCGAGGTCGGCCTCAGCAGCGAGGAGATGAACGCCATTGCCGACATGATCTACAACCGCTTCCGCAAGGGCAAGGACAAGGAGTAGTCACCTAGTGGGGGCGATAAGATGTATCGGGCCAACTCGGATGCAGTAATTTGGACTCAATTTGGACGTCCGAGTAGCGTAGTCTGTTTTGAGTCCGGTGCATACAAACATTATGTGCTATGCACAACGCCATGATCGAGTGGCACATCATGCTCAGTAGTTGAATTGCTTGTTAGCGTCCATGTAGCATTAGGGTTTGCATACCTTGCTGGACATGACTCGTAGCCGTAGCAAGTTGCGGAGTCAAAAAACAAATTCCCGGCCGCGCCGGAGACCGTGCTCCACGGCCATGGTGGCTAAGGGCGTTAATAAATTGGAAGTTACCATCGAGCAAGATTGAACAGATTGATGTCAGAGACGATATCCTGATAACTCTCACCGAGACTGATCAAACTAGGCGGCGTGTATAAGGTTCTACTTGATCTGCTCAAGAATTCCACATGCACTTGGGAGCGGAGTAACGTACTGGATACATCGTAACCACCTTCTTTGATTTACAGCAATAAATTATGAGCAGTCAATCATGTTCCAATCCGCTATTATGATGCCTGATCTCCGTGCTTGAACCCCATGAAAGTACCTCTATATTTTCCATGCGGGTTAGAATCCCCGAACTCGACGTGGACTCACGTTCGCCCCACTTGGAGCTTATACTGGCAAATCGGATTGCCGTCGAAACCCCGACAATAGTATGTGAAGTCCCGGTTGGACAGGGGAGAGACTGACACGTGTCAGGTGCACGTCGCGGTGGCGCCGGACGGTCCGCAAGCGCCGGCGCAGCAGACGAAGGAGGACCCGTCCGCACTGAAGCACTGCGTACGAAGATTCGAAAAGAAGCGGCGTCAGATGATCACATTCTCTAGCGGGGCCGATTCGATGTTGTCACGATGGTTGAGCGCCAGATCTCGATCGTACGCTTCTGCTGGCAATGCACCGCGAGAAAGGCGCTCACCCGCTGTTCCCATGTTGAGGGTATTGTTCTCGAATGTAGCAGTCTTATAAAGCAAGACGTCCCGCCACAATGGGTGCATTTTCAGACTGACCGCGACTCGAAATCAAGGACCATCTAAGTAGTTTGCCAACAACTTGCATTCTGCTCCGCATACGAAGCAGCGAGGCAGCTCGAAACCCGCAGGTGAAGATTTCTTTCGGATCCGTGCTCTGTGATCGACTCTAGTGTGTGTCTGAGTTGGCTAAAAGCACCGAAGAACACGGCAGAAAACGAGGAGCGGATGGAATACCGAAGCAGCTTATTAGGAAAGTGTTTTTAATGCTTCTCGAAACGTCACTTCGTGGCCATCTTATTATTTCCCAAAACGATCCCAAAAGTCGTCCTCAGAACAACCTCAAGAGTCATTTGCAAGCGGTCTGTCGACTCGAGGCCATCCCAAACTTTACCCGTCAATTTTACCCGTCAAGTTGAACGGTCAACCCCCCTTGAAATGATTCTCGAAAGCCCTGGAAAAAGCGCATGGAAAGCCAACCCCCCTTAAATGATTCTCGAAAGCCCCGGAAAAGGCGCATGGAGAGCTTTTCGTAGACCAACTGGAAGGCTCTCTGATCTCGTCTCGAGCCCTCTCAAAGTCAGCGTCGGAAGATCTCTCTGATTGAGACCCGACTTCAAACGCACTCTGACACCAAACCCGAGCTCAACCGCGTTTTCAAGCCCACTCGGAATGCGTGTTAACCCTTTAATCCTCACCTGGTTAGGCTTGTCGCTCCCCGGGTTGCACGTCGTGGGGGGGGCCAGCTCGGCGTGGGGGCGGGGGTGGCACTCGGGGCCAGAGTCGAATTAGAGGTGGGAGAGGGAGTGACGCTCGGGGCTTGAGTTGGGGGCGTGGGGGTTGGGAAATCGGCGGTGACGAAAACCATGTTAGGGATCGAGTAGGAAAAGTCCTCGGCCGAGGGATACACGTAGTTGAGCTCGCCAGTCGCTCCACGGAAGATTCCGGTTCCGCCCACAATGGCAAGGGGGCCGTTGGCGAAGAAATCGTAGAAACCTGCGGGCCACATGGAGAGGTTATCGCGCCAATGGGTTAAGGTGTGGTCGGCGCTCTTTTCTCCGAGAAAGGACGTGTCAAATCGATTTTGAACATTGTTTAACCAAGTATGGTTACGATAAAAGGTTCGTACCAATAGAGTGTGGGTTAGTTAGAAACGGCAGTGCATCGACAGCCACTCTAGCTCTGTTTGGGCATACGGAAACATCACCAGAAACAGAATCTGAAACGAAAGCAGAAACAAAAGCTTCGTAATCCGTATGGTTCAGTAGAACGTGAACGGGTTGCAAAAAGCTCCTGGATCCTGTCAATAACTACCCTATTTCTAGGCCACGTCTTCTTGACAGGACTTGCTCAAAAACGGCCTTTGGAATTTTCCACAACTTCCAAGTAACAACTACTATCTGAGTACCTTTTACACACTACGCCGGCCAGGGGCTTGACGGCATCTCCTCAACGTGTGGCATATGACAGCCGCAGATTGTGACGTGAAATCACGGAATCATCTACAAGGTTCATTGGAAGACAATCGTTCCCTTGATTCTACAAGGATCAAAGCTGGACAGCTGTCAACAGTGGCAAGAAACCTTAATCAGCTCTTGGTGCTAGACTCAATGGTAACCAGCTCAATCGAACTTTACAAAGACTTTCCTCCCAACATATTCGCTTCCCTTCTGTTGTCATCACACTTCCATTCTGACGTCACCTAGAGCTTTCATTCTGACGTCACTCACCGACGATCGTCAGACTGCTGCCCTGGTATGGGCCGCCTGTGAAGACCACCGTCTCGTAACACGTGTACAAAGTGTTCTCGATTCCGGGGGACACCTCGGCGGAAACCAGGCAGTTTCCGTTTGTGAACCCGACGGTGGCGCCGCTCTTATCTCCCAACCTCATGTCGTTATTGAACGAGAACGGTTCTCCCAACTTGGAGGGGAACTCGCTTTGCCTCGGGCCCTTAGGAGAGAACACCTCAGCAAACCTGCAAAGGGTTGTGCGGGAATTAGGACTGTTTGGGTCCGCAGAGATCAGCTTTGTTGGTCAAACCAAGTTTTCGGTGGTGCATTGGAGTCTGAGGGGAAACGGACTTCTAAATTACCCCCCCCCATCTCAGACTCTGACATCTGCAGAGAAACATATTTCAGGATGCGGACTAGAGGGATCGCCCTCCACCCCCCCCTCCCAAAAGATGGTAAGAGTTGGGGGTTCAGTACACCGCTGCAAAGTTGTTTCGAGACATGATCACATACTTACACCACACCTCAGCAGATGTTCGTAGGCCAGAGTACTCCTACCTTGAAGCTCCTTAAGTATCCTTTGAGATTCTTTGAAGCTTCCTAACTTTTTCTGGGTCCTTGACAGACTGTTAGTTTCCAGTGCCGTCGTTTATGGGCTGAGTATAAGGATATACAGGAGATAATACAATGCGACATTACAGCATTACTCAGAGAAAGGATCTTTAGAAGGAAGTGGACCTTGAGTGGAGGTGCGAGACTCTGGAATCAGCTCTTTGGAAGCAGATCTCCTCAGCAGGTTGTCAATGTTTGGAAGCGATGCTCTAAGGAGTGCAGGAGTTTAAAAAGTGAACACACTTCAGAAGATGTGGCGACAGATGATGTAACATCAGTCGGTACCCTTCAGCACACGCGACTGCAGTTTCCTTACAACAAAGTTTCCAGGCAATGCTAAGAACCATTTTGAGGTTACCCAAGATTCTGAACATCAGTGCATTATGGACCATTGCAGGATAGTTTGGACGTTCTTGCTTGATGGAAAGCAGACATGCCGGAGCTTACTTTAAGAAGTCAAAGCCATAAAAAGAAGACAGGAGCAGAAGACACCTGATGTTTGTTAAAACTCAGCATTAGGAAGCAAGTGCAGATTTTGACAGTGAAGTATTCAGGCAATGCCAAGAACCATACTAAAACTACCAGAGAATATTTGAGACTTTTAGTGCATTATGGGTGAGCTCAGGATACTTACGTATACTCTGGTGATCATCTTAGTAGAAGGCAGACATGCCGGAGCAAGGGTTAAGAGGTCAAAGCCATGAAAAGAACACAGGATCGAAAAGCACCTTCTTCTCGTTATGACTCAGCATTGAGAAGCAAGTGCAGTTCTTTTACATCGACGAAGTGTCCAGGCAATGTTATGGCCGAGGACCATGCGAGAATCACCAACAACACGTATGGCTCCCGGTGCATTATGGGCGAGCTCAGGATACTTAGAAATCATTTGTGATCCTGCTCAGTGGAAAGCAGATATGCTGGAGCTTAGCATTAAAAAGTCAAAGTCATGAAAAGAAGACAGGAAGCGAGAACACCTTATTTTCGCAATAACTCAGCATTAGGATTGATATAGGAAGAGTCTGAAGCTTATGAATAGATGTTCACTTACTGGCTGAGCTCATAATAGGCACCCTCCACCCGCGGGACCGCCAAACAGAGGAGCAAGGCACCGATGAGCAGAGCTGGATAGGGGAGCTGAAAAGCGGCCATGGCTTTGAGTAGCCTGTTTGCGATGCGCGATTAGTGAGATCTGTGGGAGTTTGCGCCAGCTTTGCTGACTTTGAAGGAACTGGAAACACCTACGATGGTGGCTGGCTGCTTCAAATTCAGAGTTCTAGCTTGATTGTTTGTAGTTCTGGAGATGTTCCACACGTGAGCATTTTGGGGACTCAGAGTCAGGGAGTCCACTTGCGACTTGTATTGAACACCAATGATGAGCACATGATTAACGTCATGAGTGTCCTTGTTTACCGTTTAGGACTCGAGACTACATTCAGACCTTGTCTCATG